CCGTGATCCACGTGACCGCGTCGCTGATCGTAATTATCGATAAAACCTGCCGGGACGATGGCTGTCGAATGTTTGCCAATTCGATGATTTTTAAATCCCGCGCCTGATTTGATATCGCGCAGGCTTGTTTAATAGAACTGTTAACGTGACTAATATTAAGAAATTATAGCCCGTGATGAATAATTGAAGTAGTCGAAAACATCATAAAACTGTAACAGCATGTTTTCAAATAAAATCAATGACTATGTCGTTGAGGCAAAAATTTATAATAAAGGCTAATTAATCGCGTAACAAATAATTACAGAATAACCAACGAACATGTTTTTATAAGAATGTGATACCTTAAGTTATTTTAAAATTCAAAAAAGGTAATAGAAGATGTTCAGAAAAATAGTAGCCCTCAAATCAAACAAGCCGACGAAACAGGAAAACTAGTATAGCCGCAAAAGATCTTGACCAGCTAGGAAGAAGTGCGAATAGCGTTGTCGGTTATTTTCTTGATCTATCGCTCTGGGTGCATTAGCCAACGTGTTTTGAAACACTCGCCGGGCGTATTTGTGTTGGCATCGGCGGCGCGTTGTCTCTCTTTCATCTCGCCTCGGTGCCAGGCTCTTCGCCTCGTGTGTAACGCGCCACGAGATGAAGAAACAAAGTCGTTAGAGGCCTAATTGCGAACTCTTTTCACCGCCTGGATAACTCTTGTCCATGATCTCGCGATTTTTTGCTCGGAGCAGATCAAAGACCCGAGAACGTTTAGAGAATGGCCCTGCCAATCATCCGTAACGCAAACCAACCAAATTTACTTCTCCAACTATTGTTTAAGTATTTTTCCATACTTTATATTATACGAAATATTCTGTGAAATCTGTGTTACACTTGTGTTAAGTAACCGTAGAAATTATAAAATTCTTTCTTGATTAAGTCATTTGATTCTGATATCAGCCGTGTGATACAGCGTTTTGCAAGAGGCTTAAGTAAAATATTTATTTTTCTAACTACTATTTGATTCTGACGAAGTGGTGCGTAAGCATTGAATTGATACTGATTCGTAACTGCACGTTAAACTGGGTCCTTATCTAGCATGTGATCTGTGATTTAGCAATCTTGGCCCTTTTATCTCGGTTATGCGACGTCGTTATCAATTTCCTACGGTATCAAGCATCATTTTTTCAAAATGTGAAAGCGTTTACATCGACCATCGTCAGAATCTGATGTCACGACGAATTTATTTATTGCTCTACTGTCTATTGATAAAAGGCATGCGATTGTTCATGGAACATCGTTAAAGCATTGCTTATCCTCTGATAAAATGATTTAACCGCAGAAACGGATACGCACGTGTCAGTTTGAATTTTTATTAAAGAATTAAATAAACAAATGCAGGAAATATTCTCGATTTTATTTTCAAATAAATAGTTATTCGTAAGTGATTTTTAAAGCAGCATCGCTCGTGTTCTCTTGTGTTTTCATTGATCATAAATAAGATTCGACTGATGAATTTTACTGCTTATCTTATTTATTAGTCTTTTTTTATTTGAATAACTGAATACTTGAAGAAAGATCAAAGAAAGTCGACACTTCAAACAATCGGTAAATGTTCCCGGACTCGAATGTTCCCGATATAAAATAATGACTTCGCGTTATTTATAACTCAAACACGTCAGCTACCGCGGCAGAGCATTTAACTGTTTTCCATGAATCCGACCTCCAAAATGTATATATTTTCATGATAAGTGTGACAATCTCCCGTCAATCGTAGACAGAGAATAGATTTCTATTATTGTTTACCAAATGAAAAAATGATGAAGAGGACGTTAATTCGTTAAGATATAAAATAATAATGAACAATAGATCGTAATATAAAACGATTTTAAAGTCGCATGAAGATGTATGCTTTGAACAATTAGGATGGTAATAACCTGTTTACGTTACGTGTATAAATATTATAATTGTTAAAATACTGAGGATGAAAATTAGGACTTGAGGTTAGCAGAACAAATGGGGTATAGATAGAAAACGACATCGTTTCACTGAATCTTCATCAATTGATTTTTTCGTATCATAGTCGACGATGAGCTGAACCCCCCCGAGCGATTCGTCTCTGTGCCGAAGATAATCGAACAACCACTCCTTTCCCCGTCTACACTGCCGCATTATTTACTCCTCATTGTCGTCGCCCGGGACAGCAGCAACGGCCCGGATGCGAGCCGCTCTCCCGTTTTCCACCCCATAATCGAGGAATAATAAAAATCATTCAAGTCGCGCGATGGCTTCTCAATAAAGACATTGTTCGCGGAACAAATTCTTATCCGTGAAAAGTCGTCGTTCCTGGATGGTTTCGGTTGGTGTGGGAGGTGTTCCGGCTACCCTCCTTCGACGAACGGAGAGGGCGGGGGACACGCGGGGGTGGATTATCGGCTGCGAGATTACAACGGGCTGAAGCGAACGATTTGCTTCGAAACGGGGATACCGTAGCAGCCGGTGCAAAGTGGCGGCGCGACGTGCTGGCTGGGGCCAATGAAGGACGGAAAGGGGTGCGCGGCATTATTGGCCCTAAGCAGGATACTTATTGAACTCTTAGCGGTGTTTTTATCATTCCTTTCTGGTGCTCGCGCGCGCACGTTCTCGCCACACCAAGCCACGCCGCCACCGGCGCTTTAAGTGTTTTCGCCTTTGTTTAAAAGACTCGTTCTCCCTGATTCCCGCCCGCTCGTATTATGCACCCTCGTACCCCCAAGAGGTTCTTACAAGACTACACTCCGTAAACCGTCGCTCAAGGGTTTGACCACTTTGCGTCTTTCCTTCGGGAGTGGAACAGCCGTCAAACTCGGAATCCTCTTTTCAAAGGGTTCATCTGAAGACGGTTCGATTTTTCAAGATGTTATATTCGACACGAAGATGAAACGCGCCTGGGCGTTCTATGCGAATTACGTAATGTAATGTCAAGGATACTTTATCGGTGGAAGTTCGCACTGTTGGTAGGCTAATGAAGTATACATTCTAGTCTACTATGTAGTTCGGCGGAATGTTATTTCAGAATGGGAAGCATATTTCGACGGTATACGGTAGTGGAATGTTATTTTAAGAGTCCGTCGAAAGACTTTATGAGACGCGATTTAAACGCGACGGAATACCGTTGAGGTGTGCTTTAATAAAATATCGTACCGCGCTTTTAAAGAATTTCTAATTTACAATCCTTAATAAGCTGTAGCTGGAGTATGACGCGCTACGATATAAATATTGTGGAAATTCGTTATATTAAAGTAATGATATTCAATACCTAATTTGCACAGAATGTTTCACGTTTCACGCGTAAACGTCAGTGTACATGTGTAGCGTGTTCCGATGCAAATAGATTAGTACACATCAAAGGTCTCGGCTCTTGGCATCAATTTGTGACGAATTCTCAGGTGGGATCAATGAAAACGAAAACAAGCAAAACTCAATTCGATTCATCACGTTGAACGTTCGGGTGTCAAATCGGTTCCGGCGAAATCCCGACGACTCCTGTCGGCCCGAGCGGCACCAACCCCCGGCCCCCAATCCCGTCCGCATGAATATTCATTCGTACACCGCATTTCCTATTTATGATCTTCTTTCATTACCGATTCTGTCGGTTCGTCGACTGCCATTAGTCACACTTTGCGTACCGAAAGCGTGATTCGAGGCGTTTATCGCGAATCGGGAAGGTGAAGTGCACTCGGGGGTGAATTTCACCGGCTGGTGCGCGCGTGTGCTTCGTGCGTACGACCTAGAGAGAACGCGAGCACCGACTGGGAGAAGGAGAAAGAATGAGAGGAGAGTGAGGGAGCGAATAATCGAGGGAACAGTAGGGAGAGAGACAGGCGTCACCGAACGAAGGGGTAAGGAAGGGCCACCACTTGTTCTATCGGTTACTGTTAGTCATTCAGTTCACCGCGCATGCAGCGAAAGTTCTGCGTGTAACTACGGAATTACGCTTAGATCGTGTCAATGCACTTCGCCGTGTCTAGTATGTTGTTAGAGATAGGAAAACGAGATATTGATCCTATAGCTCTTAAATTATTTATCACATTCGATATTGTATTCTAAGAAAGACAGAAACAAAATAGTCCGTCTTGTGCCAATAGACTTCCGGGTAAAACTGTTGAAAAGGGGTCTCTCTGATTTCGATGATTTTTTATTCTAAACCTTCTTAGATTCCTATATTTCTTGAGAATAATTTTGATTGGGTAGCTTCACCTCCTGAACACCCAAAACAACCAATGTGATACGTTGTCTTTTTTTATGCCCGCAACGAGCGTGAAATGAATTTCGGCAACGAAGTAAAAAGGTATCTCTATTTAATTCTATACAATTATTACATTTAGAACACTCAATGTGGTCATCATGAATTACTTTTTTATGTATGTATTAAAAAGTCCAATAACTTATATTTATCATTAGCGATTGAAAATTCATTCAAACGCATTTTAGTTGAAATCTATGTGATCGTATATAAGTTTTCAGATATACTAGTATAAGACGTAAATACGTGTCCAAAAAAGCCACTTCGCAGTACAAAACAAACCCAAGAAGTACAAGCAAAAAACGTAAACATTCCGCATCTGTCCCAAAAATAAGATCTGTATTGTACAATAGACTTGTATATTCCTACACTGACAACTTACGAACTATAATCTACCCAACCTAAAACAAAGTGAATTTTACTCGGTTCACTTCTTTAACATATTCTAAAATCATTGAAATCGGAGGTGAGCCCCATTTTCAAAAGTTTTACTGACTTTAGAATATAAACTATTGTACTCATATGTACGAACCTAAGAATATGATCTGCGACATTATATTTAATATTTATTTTATTAGAACCTGTAAGCAACGACTTTTATGATTTCAGTTTAGATGCCTTTGAATGCTGCCCGAGACATAATCAGTATTGCCATTCATTGTTCTTGGGTCGTAATCGATTTTGCAAATTCGAGTAGGAGGACACTTCAGTACCGCTAAAATATGAGACTCACCTCTTTGTCTTTTGCTTGCAGTTCCTGCTCCAGGTTGTTGTTCGGTGTTCTCCTGGGATTGCTGGAATCGTGTACCTGCTGCTGATCACTTCCCTGTGGAGTCTGAGACAATTTATGTCCCTCAGTCTTCGAATTCGCATCATTTGCTGCGGCAAGTTGCTCCTTCAATGTAGAAACTTCCTTTTCCGCCAATGTCGCCCTCTGTAATCAAATAAAATAGCATACCTGTTATTATACATAATTTACATAACATTCAATTCTTATATGCAAACAAAATAAAAAAAAAACAAATGCAGCTCTATTCATGTGTTTTTTCTTTATTACGTATACGCATAATATTTTACCCTTCGTGTTTAATGGCTGATGTGTACAAGAAAATTGCCAAGTTTCTTCCATTTCAATGATCTAACACTATACAGTTCTTTTATTACACTTCTTTATCTCATTGATCAGGCGCCCTGCAGTGTATGTGTTTTTAATGATAAGTTGATGCGGCAGAAGTTTAGCGTCACGGCGCTTAATTGAAACGTCAATCGACCGGGAAGCGGTGATCTAAAGCACTGACTATTGAAAGTCACGTGCCGCGTCTCATTTTATTTACGTTTTGGAACAATTCTAGCTCCAAATTTTCATGATCGGTATGTACACAGTAGACTCCCGTATAACGCGTCAAATATATTACAACTACTGTTTTCATACAACGCGATTCTTCGCACAACGCGCCAAACATTAAAACACAGGAATTATCTGATTTAAGAATTAAATCTGCTTTAGTTGAGCGTTTTTTATATTGTTTTCAGACAATAACTAATAATCAGGATTGTAAAAATATGTTTCAATTTAAAAAATCTTAAAAACGTAATACATGTATAATTACATTTTTATTAAATTTCAAAATAAAAGATTTCTCGCATACATTGATAATATTCTTTTTTTTAAATCAATTTCGTGTATATGCCATTTATTTTTAAAATACTGCCCTACTTGATAGATCATAGAGAATAAAAATTGACATAGCTATGATTATTTTAAACCTGTTACTTCACGTTGTACGCATTATACGAGAAAAGTTCTCGGAAATTATTTCCTATAATGCTAATTCATATAGCACGCAATTTATTAACCGCGTTACACTAAAGTCTGCTATGTCTACATTTCATTTACTATAATTATTTCGAAGAAGTCCTGATAGACAATTAATCGCACGTTTCTAAACTCAACAATGTAAACATCCACTGATATCTATTTCCTAAACCAACACCGAGCTATAAATTACATGATCATGTTGCAATATCATAATAAGGCTGTAAATTGATCAAACACATTTACAAAACATTCCGTGCGGACGCGAATGTCTTATCATTTCCAACAAATCATCTGATTCGGCAATATCGCCGCACATTTTCATTCCGTTAATGTCGAATATTAACAAGTTGTCGATGGAACGAGCGCAAGAAGCGCAGGAAGAAATCGCAGAAACCGTTTGGATACGACGATAAAATCATCGGTGGCGCCATAATAACTGACATATGCGTTCTCGTTCACCGCACAACGCGAAACGCGTAAGTTCGCCTATTTTGACTGATCTGTACAGCAACGGCATACGCTAAATCCATTAATCGGCATCTGAAGGCGATTAAAGTAAATTACAGATTTGGATCCCGGCTTGATAAAATGTATTCGATACATTATTATTAGAACGGAGCAGCAGTGGTACGCGTGGACTAACGGCAACAAGTCCACGTCAGTTTTTGCCCCGATGCATCGAAGCCGGATCGATCGTTCCGCGAAGCAGCGACGCCAACTTCTCGTTCGATTTCAAATTGCATGGTAACACGTACAAGTACGGACATTCTATAACATGCTTGTTCGCGACCCGCATGCATTCTCTCTAGCCTATAATTCTCTTCGATTGTCGTATTCCCCGCGTATTTCCGCTTTCCTTTCTCTATTTATTTAAGGGAACTTCGTTGGATTAACAATTTTAATTTATAATTATAACACGGCTTGAAAATTCGGACCATATTGTAAAATTTAAAAAATTAAATATGGTAGATAAATCATTTATGTTGTATTTGAAAGTATACGAAAAGCTAGACTTCCGTACACACGTTTAGTTGACTTTACATTAATCAGTATTACGTGCATACGTATTTCGGAATTGAGACGAATCAATTTCCTCGGAACTAGTAATCTTCAACAATCAAAGTGAGATACAAGAAACGTTACGTGGCAGCGGAGAACATCGTAAACAAATTTCGAACAATCGAAACAGACATCTGCGAGTCATGCAATAAGTTCGACGGTTGCTCGGGGAGTAGAGGAAATCGGAAAAGACGAGCGCGAGGGGGAGAAAGGAAGACAGTGTTCGGAGGCGAAGTACGAGGGAGCTATAGTAATGACCCATTGTTTCCTGCAAAAAACCTTGACGATGTTATCGATAATTACGAAATGATACGGGAAGCATAAATACATATCCGAGACCGCGATGCACGTTCATCGGAATGGCGCACAGGTATCGATAGACTGCGGTGGCTCGTCGTAGCGTATTTGTCACGAGCCGCTGGCAACGCGCAATGTGGTGGGGGATAAAATCAACGAAGCAGCGAGAAGCTTAAGGCCGATGCGATGCGATGGAGAGGATCGAGAAGATCGCCGATAAAGATCGTCCGCCCGCGATCGTCACATTAGCGGCGGAAGTCGTTGGAAGATAATGGCTCCTTTGAACGTTCCTAACGACGCTGCTTTTGTCGTTGTTCTATCAACAATCGGCTGTTAGGAATTTAAGTTATGAGATTACGGAAAACTCGAGCGCTTCCCTTTCCGCTCTTCCGATTTCTTCAAGGCTCACAGCCTCCACCCGCTTGATTGTTCGATACTTCCAATCATCGTTGATTTCTAATAAGTATCTATTAAATATTCCCGTCCATCAGCGATGTCGATTTCAATGGGGAAAGAATTACATCGAGAGGCCTTTAAATAAGGCATTGTACATAAATCAATTGCTTATTATAGATTCAGTTAAATAGATTTGAAAATCGTTTCAATAAGGCATTATACATAAATCAATTACCTATTATAGACGCAGTTAAACGGATTTGAAAATCGTTTCAATTATCGTCAATTGTTGATAATTTAAATGTCTGATAAGCTTTTCCAAATAATACCTGGTAAGAATATTGCGAATTAAGTTCTTCGATTCAATGGTAAGTACAATGGAGATACGAAATAGATTGTAAGACTTCGTTCGCGAATGTCTAAAAAACGTAGGACAATTGACGTATGAAACACAGTGTGTACACCTATGATCATAATGTAATAGCAGCGTGACAATGAGAATGCTTGACAGGTGTACATATCGTGTTCGATTCGGCGATAGGTAGGAGCCAGTTGAATTCGATCGCTCAGACATCACCGATTATGTTGTGCACGACTTTCGACCCTGACAGGTAGAGGGGCTCAAAGAGGAGGGGAAGTTCGATCACGACGAGGCGTTTCGTCTCGGGCTCCGACGTTCGTCTTTACACCCCATCGCAAATTGACGGTTAGGTATCCGACTTGCACGACGTTCTGAGCATCGATCGATCGCCACTCACCGATTCGATATACCGGAATCGCGGCTCATTGTACGTTCACGTTCCGCATGCACAAGAGCCTGCTCCAGAGCTGCTTTTAGGCCGGGTGGTCACGCACTTTCAGATCAACTACTCACCAGGGCATCGATTGGTTTCTGTCGTGTTAATGCCTGTTTCCACGTTTTCTGCCCGTTCGCCTCTGATGGCTCACCGCGTCGTGTAATTAAGCCCCCGTAATTCGCTGTTCGCAATTTCCCAGCCACGATTTCGTGTATCTCTCTTTCAGCCACTGGCAAACATTTGTAATTTAAATCCACTCTTCGTTTCTACAGAGTTTTCTCCTTTTCAATTCATCTTCAGCTACTTTCGCAACGATGACCGCGTTCATACTTTTCGTTTCATTTCTTTGATCAATTGAATTGAAATATATACAGAGAGTCGTCTTCTTTTTGCGATGCTTGCGCGGATGCAATAATTTGTATTGGTTCTCGCCAAGATTGTAACCCAACCATCCGAATTCAGATTCGAAATGAGCCGCGTGCGTGTTGGCATAGTGCGAGCACGGCATGCGAGTGTCGCAGCTGGCGGCGCGCGGTGTCGTAGCCCGTCAAACGCCGAGCATTCTTTGTGCTCCTCCGGCAGAATATCCCGAATAGATCAGCCTCCCTCGCGCACCCACCCGTCCACTCATCCACCCCGGCCTCGCGTGTTTCTATTTTTACTCCTAGCCCGAATCATCACCGCGTCCTGTCTTTTTCTACTATTTATCCCGTGACGGGTTGACTAACGCGTGGAGAGCCATTGGGAATTCCGGCCAGATCGATGTGTATTTAGATGCGACTGGCATTTGTCTCCGGACGTTGAAAGATATCTCAAAAGTAGAAAGACGAGAAAGGAAGAGCAACGAGAAGTAGTCGATATCTTTGATTGTTTGTGTTCTACTTTTCACAAATCCATTGAATTAAATTTATTTTAACAGGTCAAAAATTGGTCTGTGAATTCTCGAAAATGTGAATTGAGAAGTTCACACGATCTGCACAAGTGTCAAGTACATAATATACCGAGTGAACAT